AAAAAAATAAAAAAAAAAAAAAAAAAAATGGTGCCTGTCTATTCAAATTGAAACTCCAGCAATTTGAATGCACAGGCATCTTCTTTTAGAATATTTCCACACAAACCTGATTATACTCGGGCAGGTCCCCAAATTCCAAGGCTAATCGAGCATGAGTCTCATATACCTAAGAGGTTTCACCAAAAATGGTTCACAAAAGAAGGGAGTGTAAATAAGCATGGAATTGCGTATGACCATATTACAACGATAAAACCATATCTTTTATAACCAGATAACAGAGATGAAAAATATACCTTGGCTGTTAGTTGATTGCGAATTCTCTGTACAGTTAGATCCTGACGAATGGATTTCAATTGGTCACATTTATATAGATAATTCTTTTGAGACATTTGAACCATGTTAAGAGCTTTTTCCAGAACTTCTTCTGGTCTTACCTGTAAAGTAAAGATACAAAAAGAACATAATAAGTTCAAAGAAACAAATACCAGCTATTTTCATTCATTCTCAACAATGATTGTTCTGTGAAAAAAAATAACTAGATATTAATAATTACACTGTTAGGGTCAGGAGCAGATGTAAGACGAAGATAACGTTTCTCAATTTCCTGGCAAGTCCCTTTAATGGTAAGAGCATCCCAGTCCATGTCTTCAACAGCTCTGCTGCCACCGTTTTCTAAATTTTTTGCAACCAAGGCACTAGCCCTTCGAGTATACAAGTTTTCAATTCCAGCACTTTTAGGTTTGAAGTTATTATTTTCTCCACGACGGCCATGCCCTTTTTCAAAACGCTTTGATCGGTTTTCCCGTTTCTTTTTTTCTTCAGGCAAATTTGCAAGCGCCATGGCCCCAGAGTAGTATGCTGTCAAGCTTTGCTCCTTATCACTATCACTGTATGCCCCATCATTATCAGGTGCACTCCCATCATGAACACGCTGCTTCTTTGCTGGTCCTTGGGAAATCTTGCTCACAGTCCTCTGATCCCAGAGAGGAAATCTTGAATTGCCCACATACTTACCCTCTGTCCCAGATAAAGTCTGCACGCAATTTCTCAAATCAAGAAGATTGCACAACTATTTAAGATGGATGCACGATTAACAACTGAGCATTTAGAATTTTATATAACTTATAGACCTTCCATATTTGGAAAATAGGGCAACAAAAAGACAACATACCTCATCCAGAGTAGGTATTAAAGTGACAATAAAATAACACTTATCAAGATTGAGTACTACTAGTTATACCACGTCATACACGTAGGTAAAGAGAAGCCATGTATAGAAGGGTAGGGTGATAGCAATAGTGAAGTACGGAATGAACAAAACTACCTTTTTGTCCCTTTCGCTAACATTGGCCCAGCCATCATACTTAGCAGCAGTACCATTACTATAAGGAGGAGTTGCGTTAGCTGGTTTTTCCACTGGTAAAGGCTCCCATCTACTCTTGGATCTTCTACTTGGGCTTCTTTTGATCTTTGACAATAAACAAAGCGGATTTGAACCCTGTAAATTGCTGCAGAAAATAAAAACCTCAGATTCTGTTCCCATATTGCAGGATAATGAATTGATACATAGAAACTCAAATATTTTCCGTAATAACGAAGAGAAAAATTATTCCTAATTTCTTCATTGAAACTTCAATTATTACTTTAACCTCCATATCATCTTCAATAAATATTAAATTTGTACTTAAAATAACTTTATTCAAAACCACTTAACCCAAACTATCTAATGCCCTAGCAAACAAAAATATATGGGTTCAAAAATAATGTTCTATTCACTGAGTGGAAGAATGGAAAAACTTACATACACATTATAAAAAAAAGGGGATATTTTTGGCTTAAAAGCTTCCAGTTGAGAGAGAGAAAGATTAGCCCATGGTCCTTTAACTTCGTATTTATTTGGGTTCCAAGAAATATAGAAGAGCCACTCCATTAGATGAAAAAGGATAAAAGGAAGAATGATAAGCAATCAACCCAAGACTTTTCATGCGAAGTGAAATCAATATCATTTCATGATATGATGGAATATTGTATAAAAAATTAAAATGTTCAATAATTCTCATATAACAAATGTTCCATGGGGAGTGTAGAAGGAGAGAGCCAAGAATTCAGTACGTAAAAACTTTAGATAAGACTGAATATGTCAATTTATATAGGCAACAACTTAAGCTTAGAGAGAGAGAGAGATAGTACTCTGTATTAACTGCATCTGCACTTGGCAATGGAAATAGAGGCTCCATATCCCAGTCTTTTGTATAAAGCGTGCCATCAACAGTAGCCTTCGTGATCATCTGAAATGAAAAGAAAAAAGATAATCAGCAAAAGATCAAAATCTCTCTTAACAAGCACAAAAGAGCAAAAGCCAATATGCACCAATATTTAATGTCAAAGGAACCCTACAAAGAAAAATTAGTGAACGGTGTATTTTAAACGTTCAATAATAAATAGTTACAAGGAAACCACCTAAAAATGAAACCTTGAGATGAAATAGTTTTTTTCAAAATTAATGCACAAAGATTAAAAAAAATAAAAAATAAAACATTGGGGCGGAATTGGACAACATGATTGAAAAAACTAACAAAAATAACAATAAAAGACTAAGATAATGAAACCCTTGATTAAAATTGAAGCCCGAAGATAATATTTCACAGATGAGAGAGTTATACTGCTTTTCACTATAACTTTAATAATAACACAGTACCTCCTTTAGAACTGATTGACAAGATGTCATCAGCTTCTCGTCTTTACATCGAGCCAAAGCCCTCTCTACATAACCACGCAATGATTTAGGGAACATTCCAGGCTGCAAGTAAAAAATATATAAATACATATCTTATAATATATAGAAACCAAAATATTTGACAGATCTATTAGAACTTTAAGGTTCAACAATTAAATAAAAAAGTCATATACCCCTCACAACTTTGAGAAGGAACGTCAATCACAATGCTCTCAAGTCTCGGCGACTTCTCACTTTTCTTTTCTTTTTTAATCATATTCATAAGCACGGGAGAAATCCATAGTTAAAACTCAAGTAGAAAGCATTAGGCTTTCATAATTTCACTCTTATATATACCACATTCAACAACAGACACATGAAAAAAAAACACTGAACGGTCGTTCTTGCCTTTCTGTGGATATGAATATCAATCCTTCAGACTACTTGAAAAAAAAAATGATGTTCTATTGAGTTTTGGACTAAGATATTGAAGTTTCAGTAAATTGTTATAGCCAGTTACCATAAATACAGAAATAGAGCATTTATTTTCAGAAAGAAATTAATCAATGAGAACAGAACCTTCAGGACGGACTCGGTAGTATCATTAGACAATTCTTTTTCATTTGGCTTCAGCATCGAAACACTGATGTAAGAAGGTTGTAGAGCAGCATCAACTGTGGAGCTATCCTTACTCGCTTTTAGTATGCTCAAATTGGAAGCAATCCTAGGATTTGTTGGAATCTGCAGCTTGGTCTTTCTAGCTTCCAAAGGTGGAATAGATTGTGAGGGTACCTGATAGCTCTGGGGAGACAAATGTGCTTGAGAATGCAAATTGGGCCCCTGGGGACCTGGAGGCTTCTGTTGATCCTGAAAGCTATCATAAGAAGTTTTTAAATCTAGAGGCTTTTCAAAGTGAGGTTGGCTAGCATTAGTAAGGTGCACCTGAGAATTTGGAGCCCCATGCTTCCAGTAACCATCATGATTACCACTATTTACAGCACCATGCTGGAAAAAAGGGCAAAAGAATAACGGTTCAACTGATCAAATAATCTTTGCAAATTTAATAATTAACCATAATGTTTAAGCATTGTCTGCACTAAATTGAAATAACTTAAAGGATGCCAAAAAAGTAATCAACATCAATGCAAATCCATATATCCACTAAGTGCAGAATGTCAAACTTGCAGAAAACATAAAACAACAAAAAGCCAACACGATCAGAGAAATAAGATGGAGCCATGGGCCATGGCAGCTGTAACTCTTTATCAAAACATCAATAGTCAATGTTGAAATACAAGGATATACAGGAAACAGTGTGCATCAAGGTCCAAAGTACTAAAGAGAGATAAAAATTAAAAAAAGGGGGCAGAAAAGGATTACAGATAATCATGGTTAAACTGACAGAATCACCCAAATGGCCATCATATCACAGCTCCACAGAGGCATGAAATATAGATTAAAAAAAGAAAAGATAAAACTTTGTAGCAATTATATCACAAATACATTAAGCAAAATTAAACAATGTACATGCCCTTAGACAAGAAGAAATTTCAATCATGTGAAATTCAAACCTGAGCAGAAACCAGTTCAGTTGAACCAGATTCTGGCCTCCATGAGGGAGTATATGAAGGTGTAGGTTGGCTGTGAGGTGCAGGATAGCTAGTTGAACCATGAACCAGATACCCTACATTAGCAGTACCCGGAGTGGGCAGTTTTTCAGTCCCAGGGGCACAGCTGACTTCTGTTTGACTGTAGTAATTGGCCCATTGCTTGTAGTGCTGTTGATACTGTAGAGAATTTGCATTTGTAGAACTGGAACTGTAAGCTCCACTTGAATCAGGTGTATACTGAGCATATTGATTAGGAACATAGTTTCCATAACTGCCACCACTCCATGAGGTTGTCTGATTGCTGAAGCTGCTAGTTTGATAGCCTCCAGCTGTCTGATAATCACCAGGATTGTAGTAAGTGGTTGAATAACTTGTAGACCCAGCATAAAACTCTGTATTCTGAAATGAGGAAAGGGGCTGATAAGGAGCACCTGTGTTTTGATAGGCTCCTACAGGCTGTGAATAAGAATGGTTTGGTTGCTGTTGATAGTTGTTGTAGTAACCTTGATAACCAGCATTTGCACAACCATAAGGATCGGCAGAATTGGAATATGGTGCATAGGCATTGTAATCTTGCGTTGAATTTGATGTCACAAAACTTGATGAACTACAAGCAACAGAAGACACATTTAGACCATCTTGCACATTTCTTGCAGGTGGGACCGCTGGTTGATTATATTGAAAAGTGGAATTTGGGAGCGGCCCATTCTCATTGGAACTGCCATTCACCTTGTGTGTAGCCCATGATATGGCTTCTGGAGCTGATGTCAAAGAAAGATATGTTGATGTCGATGCTGATTGATTAATGTCACCAAAGTGTTGGTTCTGTAAACAACATGTTGGGAAGTATATTAGGTCAGCATTGCTGTCATACATGAGAAAATCCACTGAACTTAAATACATTGAAAATCTAAATGACCACGGAAGCACCAAAACTTTAATTTCATGTCTCTGATTACAGCGACCAGCAATAAAATAAACACAACATGCATGAAAATCACAATAATAAAGGAAGGGAGTACAAAACTAAAATAACATAATAGTCATCTATGAGCATGAGCTAAAATCAGAACTTGTTTCGAATTTTTATACACACCACCAGAAGTAGAATCTTAACCAATCTAAGACCCCTATATTTTTCTCTGGCCCTTAAGTTTTTCTGTGATTGTACATATGCCTAGCGTACCAAGAAAATAATTAAATCCACGCAGGTTGGTTAATGTGCTGTACTAATACAATCGAGTCTGGCAAAACGCAATCCAAAGTCTTTCACCAAAACCATGCCAAAAAATGAAAGAAGAAACAAAAGACTTAGTCGTCTTTATCGTCCTTGTCGTAAAAAGCATTTAAAAACAATCTGAGATATTTCTTAGCAACAGAGCAAACATTCAAGAAATTAGGTTCAAGTTCAACAGATCTCAAGGCAAAATAAAATGAGTCAGAGCTAGAGAAATAGAACAAGGGGACACGCTGCCATCACTATTGTGGCCATATTAACGGACTTTTTTATTTGTGAAGTACCAATAAAGAAAGCGGTTCCAACTTAGTGAATGAACCAAACGCATATTGCTTCAAGTTTCACATCCGGCTTAACTTCGAAGTAAGCCACAAGTTCAACACAAGACACACGCGAGGTTTAAATTTATACACTACGTAATGATATTGATATATTACCTCGAGCGAACTGGGTAGCGCTGGAGCTACGGTTTCAGTATTGCCGCCTTGATTCATTATCAAATTTGCACCCCGGAACGCAGCAATGGCTTAAAAACAACGATTAAGGTTTTTAACTTCGTCAAACCAATTCTCTCTACACAACAATGCAAAACCCTAACGGACTCTTAAAAATCATACCAACCTAAAGTCCCCGACCTATCCCGAAGTGTCGCAACAATGAATAATCGACCAATAAACACACTACCGTTCTCGCAGCGGATTCATCGACCAGAAATCGATTGAAGAACCCCAGGAAGAAAATTTCGAGGAGATCAGAACGAAAACAGAAAAACAAACTAAAAAAGCATAAAAACAAAAGAAAAATATGGTGTAATTCAAAGCAATCACAAAGTACAAGAATGTTGAAGAATTCCAAATGCAATCTGTTCTAAACACATTCACACACAAAAAGATGGATTCGAACTGAAATTTTATCGGATAAGAAAAGGAATTCAGTATATGGTCCGAAACCGAGGGAAAATCTTGGAAGCGGAGGAAAATTAGTTTTAGTTTGGTGTTCGTTTCCTTTTCCGCCAAAAATCAGTTTATACTTTCTTTTTTTTTTTTCAATTAACTTCAAACTAATAATTTTAATAATTTAAAATCAAAGCTTTTATTTAAAAACATTAATTTACATACCAGCTCATTTTCCCGGCCCAGCCCAGCAACAAGGCCCATTTCAATAACGAAGCCCATCACAGTCTTCTCGACAAATTTGGGCCTACAGCTGTTTTTGGGCAACGGAAATCCCTATAAAATGGCCTGGAGCTGCTTACGGTAATCATTTTAGCGAACGACGTGAAAGCTAGGGTTCCTCATACTTGTTATTTCCAGGTGCGCCTCCCGTTCTAATCGTCTAGGTTTTCTCTTCCCGATTCCTCTTAGTTAATGTTCATGCCATAGTCGTATTGAAATGTTTTGACATTTTTTGTTGTGTCCTCTTCAAATCCTGAGAAGTAGATTCTTATCCGTTTGTTTGTTTGTAATGCCTGCGCAAGTTATTGGTTATGGGATGCTGTTGCTGATTGTGGTATTGTGATTGTCAATTGTAGATAAAATGCCTCGTTATGACGATCGATACGGTGGTACGCGACTCTACGTTGGACGCCTTTCTTCACGGACTAGGTCGCGTGATCTGGATGACCTGTTCAGTCGTTATGGAAGGTATGTGGGATTTTTGCGGGATGAACTGTTCAGCCATTTATTGTTCGAATTTGTGTGATAACGTTAATTTGAAATATTCGAAATCGTTACTCGTTTTTAGTTGTGTCCTATTTTAATTCTATTGTCAGGGTTATGCTTTTGCTAACACCCTTTTCAGAGTAAATTATTAATTGATGCTTCTCTCTAGACCTCTTGAGGTATTTCCCAAGTCCTTCTTTGGGTGCTCGATTGTTAATGTGCATTTTGATATATGCATGAAGTGTGGAATTGTTGATGAGTCTGTGTGGTTTAAAACTTTAACTTGAGTGATCTTGTTGAAGGTTTCTTGGCTTATGCCAAACCTGGAGGTCTATGGTGAGAGGGTTCCCTTGGTGGATTTGGCGAGTCTTTCTATTATGTTATTGCCTGTTTTTATGGAAATGCCAAGAATCTCAGAATGGTGTTTAGTTCATCTATGAGGGGCGAGGTGTCAACCCTTTGATACTTGTATCAAATGATGGCCTTACCTGTTTCTGGAAACCATTTGCGCAGAGTACGTGATGTGGATATGAAGCGAGACTATGCATTTGTTGTATGTATTTCCCTCCCTCTCTTTTATGCAGATTTTACTCAGGCTAAAAAATGGAAGAAGAATATGCTATTTGCTAGCAGTCATTTTTACTTGGCTGGTGCATGTTAATTTTTGCAAGTGTGATCTTTTTTCTTGGTCTATCTGCTTAAACATATTATAACAGGAGTTTAGTGACCCACGAGATGCCGACGATGCAAGATATAGTTTAAATGGGAGGGATGTTCATGGAAGTCGAATCATTGTGGAAATAGCTAAAGGGGTATGTACCATGACATTTCTTTACCATCCTTTCATTAATTATATAACTTGTTTCAAACAGTTGCCTCTGCACTTTTCAGGCTAGTTGTCAATATTTTCCTAGTAGTTTACTGTAACTGTTTCCCGTCTTTGGGGGATTCTGCTATTTTTTTCTGTGCTTCTGAAATATGTTTTTAATACTTGGAAATAGCCTCTATCACCTTTCATGTACAATTCTAATCGTTTTATAGTCACATTTGTTCATTATAACAAGGCCGTGTAACTTTACCAGCATGCATGTGTAAGTGTATACTCTATACATCATGTATATCTGTTTTGTTAACCATTCTTTGAATGTGATGAAAATTTCCAATTTTTAATTAGGTACCCCGTGGTCCTGGTGGATCTCGTGAATCTCGTGAATATCTTGGACGAGGCCCTCCCGGAACTGGGCGTTGTTTTAACTGTGGGATTGATGGCCACTGGGCAAGAGATTGCAAGGCTGGGGACTGGAAGAATAAGTGTTATCGATGTGGGGAACGGGGTCACATAGAGAAGAATTGCCAGAACAGTCCTAAGAAGTTGAAGTATGTTATCCTTTCTATTATTACTCTTTTTCTACACTTAATTTATTTGGCTGATCATGGAATAAAACTGTATGGCACAGGCGTGGAAGTTACTCACGTTCACCAAGCCCTCGCCGTGGTAGAAGTCGAAGTCGTAGTTACAGCAGAGGTCGTAGTTACAGGTTCGATACAATTTTAACCACTTATCATTTATTTGGTTGTTGAAGCTTCTATCTAGATTTACATTGACCTACGTGTTTCCATGAGTTTAACTTGCTGAGCATGTCTCCACAGTCGATCTAGATCACCTGTAAAAAGGGATCGAAGTCTTGAACGGTCAGAAAAAAGATCGAGGAGCCCAAGAGGAGGCAGGCTAAGCCCTAAGAGACACAGTTTGTCACCCCCTCCTTCAAAAGCTATGAAGCGTAGCCCCACTCCTGATGTGAGGAGTCCAGAAGAAGCAAGACGTAGCCCGTCTCCTGGGAACCGAGACAGTCCTAGAGGAAGAAGCAGAAGCAGAAGCAGAAGCCCAAGGGGAAGGAGCAGAAGCCGAAGCCGAAGCCCAAGAGGAAGGAGCAGAAGCCCAATGGATGAAGCTGAGGACTTCAACGGAGGTGGAAGCAGGAATTACAGGAAGGAAGAGAACGGGTACAGTCGCAGCCCCAGTCCGTTGCCCAGAGAAGAAAGGAGTCCTGTAAACGATGAAGATGCCAATGGTTCTCCGAGGGGCGGTAGCGAGTCTGCATAATAGAGAGACAGTTTCTTAATTATGCTTCTGCGTTGGAATATTTTATAAGCGACTAGTGCCTCACAGGGACTTCTAAAATAGAACTTGTATTGTGTTTTGAATCCCGCCTCCAAATGTTCATCAGCACAGTATTTTGCCTATTTATTTTCCAGCTTTTAATTTTGATAAATTATATGTAATAATCTATTTCGTATAACCTTTGCCTATTTCCTTCACCTTCCTATTTTTGCTCGGTTTTCATAATTTAGTATTTTAGTTTCATCTGTCGAATAATATTGTTTATTACATATATCTGTGTTAAATGATTGTAGTATTCACACTCCCTCCTTGCTCAGTTTATTGGTGTATTGGGATTATTTTTCGGTTACAACGCCCATCACACGTGGCGGAAACCCAGTGGGCCAAAACTCGAGCTGAGATTGCTGTAATTTCTAACACGTTGTAAACATGGCTGGCAGTTTCTTTTTATCTTTTTATTTTTTCTTTTACGAATATAATTTATATAGTTTCCAAAATTTAGTATATATTTTTCTTGGTAAGGTACATTGCATGGGACGGTTTTCATGGGAATAAGAGATCGTCGCCATGGGACTTCTTGGTAAATGTGGCATGAGTTAATTCAAATTTCACGATATTAATTGATTGAAGCATTTTTAAGAATAATTTAATTATAAATTATTATAAAGTTTTAATAATAAAATATACTTTATAAAGTTTATGGTATAAATTTAACAATCAAATTTCTAATTGATTGAAGCATTTTTTAAAAATAATTTAATTATAAATTATTATAAAGTTTTAATAATAAAATATCAATTATATAATTTTATGATATAAATTTAACCATCAAATTTCTAATTGATTGAAGCATTTTTTTTTAAAATAATTTAATTATAAATTATTATAAAGTTTTAATAATAAAATATCAATTATAAAAAGTATAAATTTAACAATCTTACATGGTATCAAAATTGGCGAAGACACTTATTTTATGTTTTCATACTTATTTGAGATAAATTAAGACATGTTTCGTAATTTTAGACATAATTTGGAAATATTTTTATATAAATTAAAATAACTTCTGTTTTAATTTTATTATTTTACTATTATTATTATTTGGTTCGTGAGAGGAAGGGTGTACTCGCCCTCACTGTATCATTACCCAACGAATCCCGCTCCTCTTCGGCATTATTACCGGCACCAGAGTTTTTAAATATATTTTCGGACAAAACTACCTTTTCCATTTCTTAAACAGTCCCAGAAATCTTCACACTGGACGGTTGGATGCAATATTATCACTTAATTTCTGATGTAATTCAGTCGTTTAAACACTGCCAATCCCCGCCACAACTGTAATTGGTGTGCTGCTGGCCATTCAATCCCGCCAACTCTCCCAGCATTCAATGCTTGATTGCAACTTTCCTAAAATATTGGAATTATGAGTTGTCTTTGGTGATTTGAATTAGGAATCGGCGACTTTCGGTATGTTTAAGAGTTTATTTCTGTTTTGATTTCTGCAATCAGTGTGAATTACTTGTGTAGATTCCAGTTGTTTATCTTTACATTTTCTGAATCTGTACCGTCCGTTTGTTTGATGAAGTTTGGGAGGATTTTGTTGTTGCTGCTGCTGTTATGCACATCGGAGAGTAAGTGATTTTCTCTTCTGTTCTCTGTTTTTCTCGAGTTTCTTTATCGATCAAAGGAGCTTTAGCATCTAAAAAGGAAATTGAACTGTTCAGCGATCGGGTTTGGTTTTGTTCTCGTTTGAGTTTTTATTTATTTATTTATTTATTTATAGCTCTAGATGTTGTTTCTAACCTCCTCCGTTGGTTTCCACGAAATGCCTTTTTTCGTGAGGATGATATACGTCCTCATGAACTTTTATTTTTTGAATTGTTATTTTTGTAATTTTTTGCCCGTTTCAATTTGGAGCAAACTTTTCTTTTGTTTTGGTCATCTTAAGGTCGTCAGCGAACCAGTCGCTTGTTTGATGGTAGACTGTTTGTATGTATCCAAACTGCACGTTTCGAGATCGTAAACCATTTTTGCTGTTTGCTTCTCTATGTTTATTTATTAACGATGTTCTATTTTTTCTTTTAGGTCTAGAGTGATTGCATTTGACATGATATTGAGAAAAAAACATTGGGAGTGAAGGGCAGAAACTTCAATAATCAATAACCAGCGCAGAAGATGAAGAAGTTCTTTCTTAGATCGTTTGGCAATGGCTATGGCAAAAATGATTCAGTTCATCCATCATCAACAGATGACAGCGAAGCTTATTGGGAGCATCCATTAGGGAGTAGGATGGGTACTCCTATTGGTGATAAGGCTGGAAGTAGTCCCCAGAGGTCCAAGGATTTGCCTTCCAAGTTCAATAGGCAAATAGATGATAATGAACGGTCCCGCAGCCGTCCTAAACTTAGAAGGACCCAATCGTTATCTTCAGCTGCATTTAGAGACCAAGGTCAAATAAACTTCGATGGTTTGATTGATCCAAGTAGATCTCCTGGTAATGCTAGCAGTCGCTCAAAACGGCAACATGAACAGTCATCTCGGTAAGGACGTTTATTCTGATAAATATTAAAAAACATTATAAGAAATGTATACTGGATTGTATAGGGCATTTAGCATGTTATCTTTTTTTAATTGGTTTCACCATAGCATTCATTAGTCTTATTTATGATCTCTTGGTTTATGCTAGTTGCCAAAGTCCATCTCGAGAGATGCAATTCAAGGTAAAGCAGACTGAATTGCCAAATGATTACTATACCTCTGGATCTTTTAGGCCATGTTCCAGAACTTGGTATGATTCTTCTGGAAATTCTACCACTACTTCCAGTATTGTTTCAAATAGGGTCTTGGACCGCTACATTGATGGCGAACAACATCAGGAAATAAATGGATCCAAGAACAAGTATTCTCAAAGAAATAATGGGTGGCGGCCTCCTCGAGCTCAGTGTCTGCCACCCTCTTCAACAACGGCTAGCATTAAAGATAATCCAAGATCCTATTCGTCCAGAGAAACTAGAAGTTCTCTTTCTCGTTTCTTATCTGAAGATGGAGAATATGGGTTTGGAAATGACTCACCTCGAAGTGCAAAGACTGTTGTTGACAGACTCTCTCAACAACATGTTGTGCCTAGAGGGTCCTATAAAGAGCTCGGTGAAAATATACCTATCACAGTTGCAGATACTTACAGTCGATCATTGAATGGATGCTTTGATCCTAATGCAGATTTGACGAAACCATGCATCCCTACAGATGAGCCTGGCGAAACTGATGGAGAACTACAAAAAAAGGCCAAGGAAGCAGAGGAGAGGATCATGTTTCTGTCTGAAGAACTTGAACAGGAACGCTTAGTTCAATATAGCAAATTTGATGTGTCAGATCTTATCCAGATAATAAAAAATCTCACAGGGGAGAGGTTCACTTTGGCACTTGAAGTTTCAAGCCTTCTGCAGTCTCGAATTGCAGATAGGACATGTGCCAGAGAAGAGCTTAGACAAGCAAATGAAGAATTGGAGTCCAGAACACAGAAACTGGAGAAGGAGAAAACTGAGTTGCAGGTAGGTTTGGAGAAGGAGCTAGACAGAAGGTCAAGTGACTGGTCATTCAAGCTTGAGAAGTACAAGTTAGAGGAGGAGGGGCAAAGGGGGCGAGTTAGAGAGCTGGCTGAACAAAATGTATCACTACAAAGAGAGGTTGCTTCTTTAAACAAGAGGGAAACAGAGAACAAAAGCATGACAACTAATCTGGAGCAAAATATCCTCGACCTAACAGCTAGAATTGATGAAAAGAATGAACAAAATAAATATTTACAGCTAAACCTGTCTAAATTAGAAGAGGATTACCGGGGATCAATAGAAGGCATGGATTGCATCAGAAAGAATTTTGAGGAAAAAGAGAAGGAGTGCAGGGAGTTGCATAAATCAATCACGAGGTTAACAAGGACCTGCAATGAACAAGAGAAGACTATTAATGGTTTAAGGGAAAGATTGAGTGAGCAATTTGGTAATAGTCAACCAATGGAGAAATTGGATAAGGAATTTGAAAAATTGAAGATGGAACAAATGAGATTAACAGGAGTGGAACTGGCTTTGAGAAAGGCGTTAGAATCTTGTAGGGTTGAAGTTGATTCTCTTCGACGTGAGAATATAAATATATTGACTCACTTAAAAGACAATGGGAATGAGAGAGGTGCTACAACCTTCAAGTTGGTTAATGAAATGTCAACTCGTGTTTACCATCTACAAAATCAAGGTATGGTATTATTAAACGAGAGTACTCAATTTTGTTCCCAGTTACTGGAGTTCATCAAAGAGAAAGCTGCTCAGCTTCATCCAAATAAGCATAGAACGGAGCATATTGAGAATGGTTTAGATGCTCATTTTTTTCTTGAATCTGAAGCGAAAATTCAGGGCTTCAAGTATGGGATTGAGAGCCTGACAATGAGTTTACAGAAAATATCTATGTTGTTGCAAGCGGAGTCTAACTCCACTTCTCAGAGCTCAGGTGTAGACAATGCACTACAACTAAATAGTCAATATTCAGAGGTGAGTAGTTTCTGATATTGTTCCTGGAAAAGGGACATTATACTAAATCGTAATTCATTAGAGTTGATTTTAAGTTATTTCTTTTTGGAAAAAAAATCTTATTTGGTAAATCCATCATGGGTTATTCCGGTTTTACTTGTTTTTCACTATGGCTGCGGCATGTACAATTTTCTGTTACTTCATAGGACGGTTTAAGATCTGAGCTTAAAGCAGAAACTTTATTCTCAAGCCTATTAAGAGAGAAACTATTCTCTAAGGAGCTGGAAGTGGAGCAGTTGCAAGCAGAACTGGCGACAGCAGTAAGAGGGAATGACATGTTAAAATGTGAGGTCCAGAACGGAATGGAAGGCCTTTCCTGCCTCTCGCATAAGATAAAAGATCTTGAACTTCAGGTATTTTCTTGATGTCAACTTGAACTTGAAGATAGATTTTGTTGAATGGAAGGTTTTATCATTTAGTACGGACTGATTATGAAATTTTAAGAATGTTCTAACATGCGCTATTTTCAATCTACCACGTTTAATACCAATTCTGATTGCTTATCATGGTTCCACATAGCTATTTCTTACCCTTAAAATTTTATTTGGATATAGAGGACTGTATTCTAGATGACAACTTGGAAAAAATATGAACCAATATCTTTCTCTCTATATTTCTCTGCTTCCATCCCCTGCACCCATCATCAATTCGACATGCTGAGAATTATTTGTCACATAATTATACTTCTCCTTGGCATTTTTTATTTTATGCTAGTGTATTTTGAGATCTGCAGCTTATACAGGCATCAATTTGCCCTTTTCGAGTTATGTAATGTAGCATATAAATATATTCGACATTTCAGTTTGACTTACGTGTTCTAGATATTTGGATACTTCGATACTTATGGTCTATTGGATACATATTAAACATTTGTTAAGCATATCAAATGAACATGTATAGTGATATAGGACAAAAATAATAAATTTTGGGAGTGAAATACATACAAATTATTTCAATAAGTCCTTTGTTTATTCGTATGTTTGATTTTCATAAAACATAAAATGAAGTGTCACCATGTTTATATTTTATATCCGTGTCAGCGCTTCTTATATTCTTGTTCCCTTAGTTCCAAAGATTTGAAGAATTCGTTAAATTTAAATCATGGGGTCGTTATTTTACAGTTGCTGAAGAGAAACGAGGACATAAACAAGTTACAAACTGAGCTGGAGGAGTCTAGAAGGGAATTAGAAATTCTAAGGGACGTACTTCAGAAAATTTCAAAGGAGAGAGACATGTTGTGGGAGGAAGTAAACAAACACAGGGAGAAAAACATGCTACTGATCTCCAAAGTTGATGAGTTGAAATCAAAGATTGAGACATTGGAAGAGGACATTTTGCTGAAGGAAGGTCAGATAACAATCTTAAAAGACACACTCACCAATAAATCCATTGACCTTCTTGCTTCTCCCAAATCTTCATGGGAATCTCGAGTGCAGTAAAAAATAATAGCTGGAGGATTTAACCGAGGCTTGCGGGTAAATTTCTCAGTTCATATTTCATAGTCGTACTTTTTATACTTTTATGTCTGGTTTTGATTATTTTACATATCAGCCTTTTGATTGTTTCTCTCATTTTCTTTAAAATCATCTTTTGGGATCTTCGACGAAGTGGAAGATTCTGAAGTTTGAACTTGACCATGTTTTGTTGATGTATCTACTTAGTTCATATACTCTGATTTGCAAGGTAAATAGGGGGAAATATAGTTTTTGTCGCTGTATCAAGTTAACGATTTTGGCTCCCTTCACGAGTGAAAGGTAAATTTGTGCTATGAACTATTCAACCTCGTGCTTTATTAGGTGTTTCTTTTTTGAAGTAAACTTTCAAAGCTCATTTATTCGACCTCGTGATTTATTAGGTGTCAAAAATTACATTGGTTCGATAACTCGTTAGATTATAAATTTAGTCTCGTTAGAATTTATACTCGTTAGATTATAAATGTATTATAACATTAGCAATATTATGCTATAGAGTATAATTTACATGGATTATAAATTGCATAATTAATTAATTAATGACTTAGATTATATATGTTAAAACCAAAATGGTTTGATTTAGATTAGTTTTGGCCTACTCGATTTTAAAAAATGTTTGACTCAAAATTGGATTTTTCAATCTATATCAAACCAAACCAAACTGATTGAACAGTTTAAATCAACTTTTTTTTTTAGGTAAGTGGATTGAGAAATTTTGTTAGACCAATCTAAAATTTAAAACTCAGTTAGGTAGGTGATACAAATAATATATATTTATAATTAATGAATATCATTAAACTCAAATATCAAATATTTTTAATTTTTATAATTACGGAATAAAAAATAATTAAATAATAAATAAAAAAGAAAACATTTACGGTTAACTAATAGGTAAATTTTTCAGTATTAATATATTTTCTTGGTTATTGGCTAAACCTTTTAATGATTTTTCAATAAAAATATATTTTGAAAATTTAAATAAAATCATCGCTGAAAAGAGTGTTTTCTTTTCAAAAAAAGAAAAAAGAAAACAGTACAAACAGACAAGTGCTTAGATCGAAATAGACCAATGAAATTAAACTTATAGTTTAACCATCGAATTGCCGTTCCCCCGGAATCTCTCAAAATCGACGACCTCGAGCAGGAGCAGCGCATCAAAAATTAAGCCACCGAAGATGGAAGAAAATATGCGGAATGGAACTTCAGAAAATTCGAAACCCAAATGCTGGTGTCGAATCAGGAATCAGTGCGCTTCTGAAAGAATCGAGGGCTCATATTACCAGCGAAGCGAAGGGACGTGATTCAGGTTGGGTTTGGCTTACTTTCGACATCGTAGGGTTTATCATTTCTTAATCCTCGGCTTTTCAACTTATCTCTCCCAATTTTCCCGGAAAATTTACTCAGTTTTCCGAGAAAGTGATATCGTGGAACTTTCTGTCTTTACTTTTTTGTTTGAATGATTACTTGGATTCATATATTTTAGGGTTTTTGCTATTTTTTTTTATGTTCTGCCAATTAGAAAAGAAGGTGAGCAATAGTTGCCTGAAATGGCGGGTTCGTTAAAGGTTAAAATCAAGAATCCAGGCAATAAGTTAGAAAACCAAAACTGAAAAGTGCCAAATTTAATTTAATAAACTGATAAGAACCCTTAGAAAACGAGGGCTTTTTTTATTTTGTTTATTAAATTGTTCCCAAACCAAGGGATTCTGTTGTTGGAGAGTGATCCATCTGTTTCTTTGGCTCAAAGAAACAGAAAAAGGAAAAAAAAATTAATAAAAAAAAAAAAGAAAAAAAATTTAAAAAATTCAAAAAAGAAGGAAAAGAAAAGGAAGAAATCCCGAGGAGGAGGAGGGCCAATTAAACTTCAGGAATTTCCCTCTTTCCAGATCTGCTCGTTTCAACGTTCTGACAGGTTTTTTTCTTCTGTCAGAACACCCCAAATTCTTTTTACTTGATTCCCTTTGTTCATTTTCATCTTATAATGCGTTTCTCAGTCTATAATTTGGACAGTTTTGCAGAAAAGTGTCTGCAAACTCTCTCGGCTATCTCAAGGTTTGTAGTGCAACTTCTTTTACTTGATGTTTGGTTTCTTTGTATTCTTTAGTGTTCCTAGGTTCAATTTTTGTTCTTTTGGTTGATTTATACTTAGAAACTGTTCTATATGTTCATATGTATCAATGTTGAACTTTCATTCAATGTGATTCTTGAATTTGCAGTTTCTACGTATAGACATCAAGAAACTCAATGTTATATTGTTGAAATACTGATGGTGTCTGCTTTGATCAATGGTTTTCTGACATCTGAAACTCATTATTTCGTACATTTGTGAACGAAATAAAGGGAACTTTTGGTTTTAATACTATCCTTCCGGTCGGTTTTGAAGAATGGTTTTTCATGCTGGATCATTTGGGTGAGAATATGTAAGGGATGGTATCTGAAACTTTGATGAAGATTGTATCACCCTGCTGGAAACCTTCAGTTGAAGGCGGAAATTCTAGTAGAGGTGGGGATGCAAGTGGTCGGGTTGACGGGCTGTTGTGGTACAAGGATTCTGGCCGCCATATTAATGGAGAATTCTCAATGGCAGTTATTCAGGCAAATAAATTGTTGGAAGACCGCAGCCAGCTTGAGTCAGGGCCACTGAGCTCATTTGAATCGGGTCCTGTTGGAACGTTTGTTGGAATCTATGATGGCCATGGAGGTCCTGAAGCTGCAGAATTCATAAATGATCGTCTGTTCAATAATATGAAGAGTAAGTTTTAATCTACTTATGCTAAATACCTCTTCCACTTCTTCCTCTTCAAGGTAGCTTTTGCCTTGTGTGTGTTGATTTTCATCCTTAGACCGAAATTTAAGTTTGTAGTCTAATGGCGAGTTTGTGTTGACTTTGGAAAAATGTGTTGATGCATTCAGTAGAAGCGCTAATTGAGTGTTTACTCTAAAAGGACTTGATTGAACTTTCATAATCCCCTTGGCTTGGCTAACCATTACCAACATTCTGAGAATTTTGATCAGTGTTTTTAATGGGCTAAGTGGATTTTCTTACTATAACAGCCCAAGCCCACCGCTATTAGATCTTGTCTTCTTTGGACTTTTATTTCTGGGTTTAAAACGGTCTACTATGGAGAGAGTCTAGCTCTACTCCGACCAATGCCTCCCATGCCTCCCACTGGCTCTGATACCATTTGTAACAGCCAAGCCCACCGCCCTAGATACCCTCAAAGTTTTTAAACCCTCAGCTAGAGAGAGGTTTCCACACCCTTATAAGAATGCTTTGTCCCCCTCTCCAACCAATGTGAGTTCTCACATTTACCTTCCAAAAATTATCCGAAATTCACCCTAACTATAATTTTTATTTCTTTTTCTAGTCAAGGTAAATGGTACACATTCTTTAGACATTAATATTACTGGACATTGTCCTATAAGATGGACTAGACAAGGATTTGATTGTCCCGGTCGAAGGTGGTGTTTACTGTGCTCGAGTGGTGCATCCTATGGAATTTTAGTCTTTTATGTGAAAATTATTGAAGTAAGTTCATTATTTAGACTGCAAAAGAATTTGATATCCTCCTTTTAATGGGTACGTGTAGAGGTTGTTATGGTTGGGAAGTTTGTTGTTGTTCATAAAATTCAAGATCGTAAATGAAACTAGTCTAATTTGAAGCCCAAAGCAAATGATGGAAGGAAAGATGTATATTGGTCTTCGTGGAGCCCTGTTGTGACTTGTGAGTGCTTATTATGGTCTCTTACCAATTTGTATTATATGGCTAATGGGAATGTTTACACTTGACAGCTTTTCATGGTGCAGAATTTATTCCAGATAATCAGGGAGTATCGGCTGAAATTATTAACAAAGCGTTCGTGGAGACAGAGGAAGAGTTCTTGTCTCTTGTAAAGAAACAATGGCTTATTAAGCCGCAAATTGCTTCGGTTGGTTCATGCTGTTTGGTAGGCATAATATGTTGTGGATTACTGTATATTGCAAATGCTGGAGATTCTAGAGTGGTGTTGGGAAGAACTGAAAAAACTCATAAAGAGGTTAAAGCTGTCCAATTGTCGTCTGAGCACAATGCAAGTATTGAATCTGTGAGAGAGGAGTTGCACTTGTTGCATCCCAATGATCCACACATTGTGGTCTTAAAGCACAAGGTGTGGCGTGTGAAGGGTGTTATACAGGTTTGTTCTTCAACCCCCCTTGTCTTCTTTGATATTTCCTGATAGAACATGTTTGATTTGGTATGCTCTGAACTCTATGAAAGCTTTAAAATTTCTCTACATTGAACAACTAGTTATGAACTAGAAACTATCACTCTGCTCATATGTAGGTCTCAAGATCCCTTGGTGATGCTTATCTGAAGAAAACCGAGTTCAACCGAGAGCCTCTTTTGCCGAAGTTCAGATTACCAGAACCCTTCCACAAGCCAATACTTCAAGCCGAGCCTGCTATCGTAGTGCACAAACTGTACCCAGAGGATCAATTTCTTATATTTGCTTCAGATGGTCTTTGGGAGTATATAAGCAATCAGGAAGCTGTCGACCTCGTCCATAGTTGTCCACGTAACGTACGGTCGATTTCTGCTTAACTTAAGTTCTTTTTGTTTTCTTTTGCTCTTCTGTTTGCTTAGAGTACTACCTTCTTATGTGAAAATTGAAAGACTTCTGGGCTGCCTGCTTAATACCTGTTACCAGAATTAGATGTTTATCAAAAACTTGGATATAATCAATAGTAATGTTCATTGTTTGGTGTGATACTCACTGTAATGGCTCCTCCTCTTGTTTTGAGCTTGTTGTTGTAATCTGTCTGGCAATTATTCCTTCTCTGTTCATCATTTTTTTTCAAATCATTTGGGGTTTCATCCATGACTTGGTATTGTGTGTGTTCAGGGGATTGCAAGGAAGCTCGTTAAAGCTGCTCTTCATGAAGCTGCAAGAAAAAGAGAAATGAGGTACACAGACCTGAAGAAGATCGACCGTGGGGTAAGACGACATTTTCACGACGACATAACTGTTATAGTTTTGTTCCTGGATTCGCATCTGATTAGTCGCAGTCCGAGCCATGGACCTATGCTTTCAATCAGAGGGGGTTCTGGTATCCATCCTCGCTGCTAGATCTTAGTTTCTTCATTTGTATTGCAAACCGAATGATTGTTTGTGTTCAAAAGAGGAGAGATTTGGAAACATAGCCCTTTTCTTTTCCCTTCCCCATTTACCCTTTCTTTTTCCTTTCCTTTCCTTTCCTTTTGTGTTTTCTTTTTTAATGTATAGCACTCTTATTACCTATGAGGTCTCCTTATTGACAGTTGCGTCAATAGTACATATATAGAGAGAGAATATTGACTAGGAGTCATCAAGAGTCACAGGTTTCAAACATATTAATACATAACGATTTTCCACAAAGTGGCGACGAAAGATAACTTGTACAAATCTTTCCATTTTCCAATTCGATTCGATCTATTTGTTCGTTGAACTATTTACTCGATTGCAGACATTTCTTGAACACCTCTAACAGAGGAACAAATAGTCAATTTTGAAAAAACTTATTGTCAACCTCTTTCAGATATGAATCTATCTGATTTGAACTTGCATTATCTCGACAATTCAAACATGAGTTTGATTCAAACAGAGTTTGTCTAAAGAAATGCCTCGAAGAATAGGGAGTTTGAGAACTATTTGACCAGTCCTTTTTTTTCCTTTCCTTTCCTTATTGGCAGCAACTTTTAAGGGCCTTCATTGTTTTGCGATGTAAGTATACAGGAAAGAATTCCTTTTTATGCTCATAAGCTCGAGTTACCATATCCATTAGTACTAAAGCGGATAATCTGAATATATCGAATCAGCTCTTTCAAAATATGATGATGGCCAGTTTAGTTTGGTAAGTAGGGACTTTCTCACTTTGCATGATAGCTTATGGGCTGTTGGTATCGATGTTGATGGAAATTTGCAAGAAATGGTGGAAAATACCAAGATGTCTTCATCAACCATAAGACTATGAGTGATGAAATCAAGAGCTATGGAGCGGGAATAAATCATGACTTTGATGTACTGATCTCATCGGTTCTTGTAAAATGAAATAGTAACCGAACATCTTTTGCTTGGAATTAGATCAGACTGAAAGAAAGCAAAGACCATGGCACTTTAGTACTGACGTACCTAAGTTGGGTCGGTTCAGTTTCTGTTCAACACCGACACTGAGATTAGTTATTAGAATTGATTGCTAAGCCTTACTAATACTAAATCTAGACGTTAACAGTCCAAGCCTATCGCTAGCAGATATTGTCTTTTTTGGACATTCCGTTCAAGGGCCTTCCCTCAAGGGTTTAAAACACGTCTACTAAGGAGAGATTTCCACTCTTATAAGGAATGTTGTGTTCCACTCTCCAATCGATGTAGGATCTCACATAATCAGTTTCTGAATTTTGTCACTTTTCCTTTGCACTCCTATTTGGGACACCAAGCTCTACATTTATATCTGTGTATTTGAGCCGTCGATAGGGTATTAGTCACCATATTGAATAATTTTTCCTATATGGGTCCTTTTTTTTTAAGATGGATCATTGAAAAATCAAATTGAATCAATTGAAAATCTAACCAAATTTCGTTTCGTTTGAACTTGTTTTTATGGGTTCGTTCAATTTTCAGTCTTCAATTTGGCGAAAGCTAAAGTTAATCAACCCATCATACCATACCCCTACTACACCATGACTAATGTGTTTCGTTTTAACTTATTTTCGGTCTTTCAGTTTTGGTGAAAACAAAAGTGAATGAAACCATCATACCCCTACTACATCATGACTAACTTGCTTTGTTTGAACTTGTTTTACGGGATCGTTCGATTTTCGGTCTTCAATTTTGGTGAAAACAAATGTAAATCAAACCATCAGACCTTACTAACAGCATTTTAATGTTACAGCATGACTAACTTTTTTCAAGTAATTAACAAATCTTCCAAACAAATAAAAGAAAAAAATTAAATATCGATTCAACCTGTTCTACTACATCAATGTAATTTCAGTGAATTTCATCTAAAAATTTCAAAGAAAAAAATATCTACAAATCTTGAAAACTCAGCACCCCTGGAAAATGTCAGGTTTATCGCAGCATTGACAAGAATACTCGAGGGATTGAATTTAAATATCAACGAGCATGAGATAAAGTGCCACTTTATATAATTTCTCTTTTAAATAGTCAGTAAATTTATAGTTACATCAGACCTCAGTCCAAACTTCCAGTTTCAGCTTCAGCAGGTCTGTAACTATGGCTGCTGTCTTCTTATAAATCATCCACAGGCTGCATGTCACTTGAGAAACTGGCTTCAACAGTCTCTAATGGGCATCACCCACCAACAGATCAAGCAATCAGTCAATTTTGGCCATAGGATGACCTAGCTCTTGCATGTGTGGTCAAACAAAAACGAAGAGGATCGAAAGGTTGGGTCGGGTTGTGCTAGCGGAACAAAACTTTCGAGATCTTGCGGGAATAAACAAATAGTGACCAGACGGCAAGCCAAGCTGATATGTACAATAAGACCACACCAGTTGCTACTAAAATTCCAGATCCTCCAAGACTAATAAAAAGGAAAAATGAACCAATTAGCTTTGCAGATATAGAAGAGCCAGTTCTATAGTGTTCATCGTTTTTGGTACTATTCATTCGAGAAAAATTCAAGACTAAGAACACCTTTAGAAAGATGATCGATGAAGCCTCGAAAGATGATCGATGAAGAAAAAAAGAGAGAACGAACCTGCTGTCTCGGCTAGCCAGAAGGGTGGTTAGTGCAATCATCTGTGTTGCTGTTTTCCACTTCCCCAGGTTATTTACGGCCACAGCCTGTTTCTCAAGTTATAAAACTCAGATAAAAACTTAATCAATTCTAACAAACTGAATTGGTTTTTGGCATATAGAAAAACAAACCTCTAAAAGCTTGCTATTCTGGGAAGCAGCCCATTCTCTAACTGCAGACATGGTTATCTACATATAAATTGCAAACGGTCTGTAAGATATCAGTCACGAATTCATTGATAAATCAAATATACAAGACAAGATCAAAGAAATAGGGAAGGAAAAAAAAAGGAAAGGAAAAAGAGAAGCAGGCACACAATAAAAACGTGCGCCCTATCAGATGTACATAAGGGGGCATTTTCAAATCAAAGGTACCGCTAGCAGATATTGTCCTCTAAGGGCTTTCCCTTTCGGGCTTTTCCTTTCGGGCTTCCCCTCAAGGTTTTTAAAACGCATTTGCTAGGGAGAGGTCTCCACACCCTTAAAAAAAATATTTCGTTCTCCTCCCCAACCAATGTGGGATCTCACAATTCACCTCCCTTCGGGGCCCAGCGTCCTCGCTAGCACTCGTTCCCTTCTCCAATCGATATGGGAACCCCCAATCCACACTACTTTGGGGCCCAGCATCCTTGCTAGCACACCGCCTCGTGTCCACCCCCTTTGGGGGCTCAACCTCTTTGTTGGCACATCGTTTGGTGTCTAGCTCTGATACCATTTGTAACGGCCCAAGTCCACCGCTAGCAGATATTGTCCTCTTTGGGTTTTTGTTTCGGGCTTCCCCTCAAGGCTTTTAAAAGGCGTCTGCTAGGGAGAGGTTTCCACCCCCTTATAAAGAATGTTTCATTCTCCATTTTCCTCCCCAACCAATATGGGATCTCATAAAAGATATATAATCTAAAAGTATTAATTAAAGATGTTGTAGAAAGTAGTAGGGAAAGAAAAATCTAACTTTTCCTTAATATTGCTCAAAATGGTTGATATCCTCCAAACAAGAGAATAAGTAGCTACCAAGGAGAGCATACCAACACTCATAGCCCAACTCCACCCCACCCCCGAAAAAACATTTAAAAAAAAAAAAAAAAAAAAAAAAAAACCTCGGACATGAGTGTGCTTGGATCATCATAATTATAATGCAAGGTGTGGGGGCAGATATCCTGGTAATTAAACAAAATACCAAATAGGCTAGAAAATTTATTACCTCCCGGCCAATAATTGCAATTGACGGTAGAGTCAGAAGCCAAGGAACATGACCAAACACAGAAACCTCCAAAGGTTGTGTACATAGTAAAATCAGTGTGGCAGCAACCATAAGCTGTTGTAAAGGAATGTTAGTTAGTTAATAATTTCTTAACCATATCTGAACTAAACAAAATTGATTCAATTTCTTTGATCAAGCTTATGAGTGAGAACCTAAAAAAAGAAGAAGGGCCAACCTTATCAGCTACTGGATCAAGAAATGCACCAAAAGCAGAACCTAACCTCATCTGATAAATGCAATTAAGATCAGGACCAGGCTAACTCAGGCAGCTATAAAAAAAAGAATAGCCAACACAGGTTTTTTCCACCATACAAGATATGGACTTCAGGCATGTGTATAACAAACCTTCCGAGCAATATAACCATCGAGCCAGTCTGTAACTGCTGCAGCAATGAATATACTAGTTGTCGCAGTCGTTCCCCACCAATTATTGACATAGAAGGCTAATAACAGAAACACATATCATCACGATTAAATTCAAGTACACTAAAATTAATTTTTACTTCAATGTCTACAAACTAGAGGAAAGTGGTTTGAAATGAACAAACAAATAATCGACGCAGAAGGCTGATAACATAAAAGTGTGTGTGTGTGTTTTATAATTATCAAAACCAAGTACATTAAAATGACTGTTTTTCACACCCAAATGCATTAGTATCAAAAGTAGACAGTAGTTTCAGACAATTAAGGAACAAATTCAAGCGTTCATGATAGGCAGCTGACAACAGTCTAATTTTGATCAAATATTGCCGTCATAAATGCTTCAAATCCACTATAATAATCAGCTGGTATGATACTTTCAGGCTTAAACAACAGAACAAAGTAACAACAAAGGAATATTTTGTATAATAACAAGCTATAGAACTGTCGGTTGCAAGAACTATAAGCAGTCGCAGAACAGCTGTTAACCCAATGGGAACAAGAACTAAAGCAAATATTAGCTACAATCGTTGAACAGAGTGAAACTAACCCGTATTCAATCTCATTTTCGCACAAAATAAAACAAAAACTTACCTTCCAAGAAATCGTGACAATCGTTAACACAAGCCACATACAGAAATTGATCACATCGATTACCAATAAAAAAAATCAATGGGATTATCAATCGGAGCCAATGTCAGGTCCAATTTACATCACAACAAGCAACAAAAGATTGAGAGATCTACCATTAATCGTGCATCAATTCACTTCAATCAGACGATCAGAACAAACATGATTGCGATAAACAAAGAAGCAGGAAGTTGGAACATACTACAAACAAATATCGGGACAGCGGCCACTCGGGCAAGCGTCAGAATGGTGGGCAATGT